AATTTTTAAGTAATATTTGGTGATGAAAATGTTTTTTAAATAAAATTATCTCAATATGAATCTTCATGTATGAATCAAACATTGACTCGAGGTCATAGCTGAAATGTTCAAATAGTTTTATTAGAAGTGTATGTTACGGTGTACAATTGAGACCCACATCCCTTAACTTCTAAAGTTAGATTCATCAGTCGGACACTAGTCCATTCTCTGCTTATCACAACTTCTAATCAATTTCAGATTTTTACACTGACTGCAGCAAATTTGACAAGCAAGCTTCTCACATCTGAAACACTCAGTTACCCCCAAATGGCTGGAGCTTTTATGAACTTGTACTTGCTGACCTTCAAGATTTCCAGCAGGCAAGAAATCAAAGATAATACCAATTTTCAATAACTTTATTTATCTGAAAAAATGAACATCTCCTAACAGCTTTAGGATGCTAGTTGTGCTACAAACCATGTGAGTGGCCATTTCATGATGTTAATAAGCATTTGCCAACAGTTAGCAAAGAGTTGCTTTGACAGTTATGATCAGACTTAATTTCAGAGTAAAAGGCAGTGTTTACATACGTAGCACTTCAGAAAATCAAGCCACTTGGTGCCTGAATTATGGATTTAAGTCAACAGACCTCAAAATCTTGGATTCATCTTTTATGAAGCAGGAGACCCATTAATATTGAACCAAAAAGTAATGTTTTCAAACACTATTTTAAATAAAAAAATACATTATCATTTAACTCGTATTTCCTTGAGTAAGATGACGTGAATGGGCCTCACTGTCCTGAAATAACATCACACTTTGGGTTTATTGAGACAGTCTTAAGGGTTCTGGCTTACAGTAGCCAAAATAATGTGCTTATTACACAGCTGTTGTTTTACATTTTCCATGTTTGCATTATAAGCAGTGACTCTTTTTTTGCTCACTTTATGGGCATGTCCCTGAGAAATATTTTTTATCATTTTTAAAGGAATAAGTACTAGTACTGGTAAGAAAATGTGGGTAAGCATCATTTTAATGCATTTTTTAATTAGATATTTTTTCATGAGGCCAGAAAGTTAAAGAGTATTTCATCCTGTTCATAAGTCCCTCTTGGAACTATTACAAAAAAATAAATAAGGTAGAAAGTGCTAATGGTTTTTGCTTTTGTTAATGGTTCTACAGCTTCCAAGATAAATTGCCCTCTGAAAGTGCTAAGTATTATTTAATGGTAACTGCTTGAAAATGACTAGTCCAGAAAGGGTTAAAGGATCGATAAAGGAAATGAGTAAATTCAAGCTCATTCATTTCCTTTATCTGCCTTGGAGACATTGGCTGCCTTCTTGGGGATGGCACTTGGATGAGCCTTCCAACCCAAGATGCGTTTCAGTTGATCATTTTGGTGGGTTTTTAAAAGTGATTTTAGATTACAAAAGAGTGAAGGAGAATAAACAAATAATCTTCTAACTTGGGCCCTACTGAATTAATGGCGGAAGTGGGCTGTGCTGTGGCTCCTTTAATCTTGCAGGATTCCCCGCATACCGCCCTGCTGCTGATTGGTGGAGGGGCCCTGCTTGTGGCTCGCTCCCGATTGTCAGGGAAGCAAAAACTGATTTTAAACATAGCGCCTTTTTTGCTCCCTGCTGGTCAGCAGCAAGCAGCAGGACCGCCAGGGTTCCTCGGCCAATCACCAGCAGGTAACTACATTGCTGACTGCCTCACCCTGACCTGACAGGGATTAGAGAGGAAGAGAGCCCTAATCGGCTGTTTGGTCACCATGATAGCCCACCTCTTTCCACAGCCTTCCTTTGTGTCCCATATCCAATCTTCTAATCAGGGTAGCATGCTGTTTCTCCCCTGTGGAAAAAGAGTGGGCTTTAAGTTTATCCTCTCATGGCTGTTCAGTTTGTTCCCCCCCCCCCCCCCCTTTTTTTTTGTAATCACTGTGTTGCAGCCTTTACATCTACAAGAGAAATGCAGATTAGCCTGTGCAAGAAAATCAGGTAAAGGGCCAGTTAGTATCAGAAGGCAGGGTACGTGATGCTAGGCTACTAGTGCCATCTTCCCATGGATTCCCAAAGTGACGAACAATAAGGGCTGACTGGGTGTAGTCCAGGCCTCTCATAATAGGAGCAAGAGAGATTACACTTAACTGCCAGGCGTGATCAATTATGTACATAAGGGCCGTATGCCCCGGGGAATGACCAACGGAGCTTAGAGTTGTAGTCAGACAGAAAAGTGGTTACAACAGATCTCATCCCAAGGGGGAGGTAATACTGTAATTGAGATTTTTGAGCAAAGTGTAGTTAATTGCAAATTTTTATCAGCGTTCTAGTGCTTTTCTTAAAAAACTTAATTAGGAGAACATTCATTACAGCAGCTTGGCTTTCATACTAATTATGATATCATCAGTTTATCTTAGGCTATTTCCAAAAATACTTTTTTTATATTTGGAAATGCTTGCCTAAGATAAGTAGTGATAATTAAAGTGAGTATCTAGCTGTACAAGCAAGGTGGCTTCAAAATGCTTTATATAGTTTTTAGATTAAGTTATAAATGTTCACTTTGGAACTACCTAAAGATTGATAGTGATGCATTTGAAAAGCATTATTTTTTTATTGATTCTTAATGTAGTAAATTACTGAAGTTATTTGGCAGCCAACAGAAATGGTCTGTGATGTTGTTCACATTTATTCTCGTGATAGCGTCACAATTTGCATTAATTGCATTGCTGCTGCACTCACTTATATTAAAAGGCTTCTACCATAATTAATCCTTTTTATTTCAAATCATTTTGGCACAATTTCTAGCAATAAACACTCATACAAGACAGACACTTGAAAAATAACATACAAGTTTCTTCAATATACCTATTGCTATTTTTTCTTGACATGGAGTTATTGATAGGCTTCTAGGAGCAAGTGTTGCAAGTGGCTAAGAATTAAGACCAATATGAAGAATGCTAAGTGGATTATTTTGCATAAAAATAGACAGTTTTTGAATTTGTGTAATTAACCTGCATTTAGAAAATACCTTGATTTATGTCTACATTTGTATTTCAGTTGCATACATTATGGAAATTTAATTTATAATCCATTTAGCTGATGCAATCATAGTTTTTAGTGCTATCATTTATTAGTCCTTGTATATTAAATGTTCTAAAGGTTTAAACCTGCCTTGTGTAAAAAATTATACTTCTGCATTTACATTTTATGAGTCATAGATGGAATTCCATTTTACATTCAGGTAGGTTTGATATATTTAAAGAATTACAATGGTTTTATTGTTACTTATGCAGGAATGGCAAACAGTGACCTTATACATTTCAAATTAATGATTTACACTTCTAGTTTACTTTTAAAGTCAACTACACAAATGAGAGGTTTGACTTCCACACCTTGAATAAATCATATAGTTGTAAATATAATGCACCCATTGGCTTTGAACTCACTATTCCTATGTTTGTAATGCTAGGTCCAAACTACACCTATAGAAATGTTCCTTCAAAAGTTTAAGCAATTTATGTATGTTCTTCTTTAACATTTTTTTAGGAATTCACTTGGTGATTCATGTTCTGTGTTGTTTTTCTTGTTTATATTTGCTTTTTTAAAATAATGCAGCAAGTTATAGAGGAATCGAGTAACACATATCTGCACAAGCGTTCCCACATTAAAAAAAGACCAAACAGTCATATTATGTTCATTGATGCCCCTTTTTGTCTGGTCTGTTTACTGGGTTTTGGTGCGTGGTGCAATGGGGGTGCGATTGCTAGACTGCAGACGAAAAATTGTCTGTAACATTCAGGACTCCTCTCAGTGTTAATGTATTTTTATGAAAAAGTTTGGATGCTGTCCCTTCTTATCACCCATATATTTTCAAAATATCTTTTCCCTCTCTCTCTTTCTCCCCTTGTCATTGGGGACAGCCCTCGTGGTGCATTTTTTCTGACCAACTAGAAGAACTTTATGATATATGTTAGGAACATGCAAAAATGCCACAGGCCTCACACTTGAAATGGTGGTAATACACAGTTTACTTGTTAAAAATGGGATTGGTAGAGATCCATGTGGTTTCCAAAAGTTCTAGATCAGGCACTTTACAGTAAATATTTTTCCAGCAGAACTACAGTCTACAAATTTTATTCTCATGCAGTTTCATGCATCAATATTAATTTAGCCAGTGGCATGCCACTGACTGCATATCATGCCTGTGGCCACACCAGTGACTTCATTTTAAGGCATAGGAGTAACTAGTAGGCCCTGTAACTGGGTATTAGTAAGTCCTTTTGATGCACAATAGGAGTGGAATCCAGTTGTCTTCCTCTTCTGTAACTTTTTTAGCTATGTTGATTCTTCTTGTTTACCAGGAGAAAAAAGTAACTTACTTTGTTTGCCAAAATATTCAGCATTGATTTCCTATGTGGACAGGAGACATATTGTAGTTTGATTTAGTATAAGATACATTTTCACAAAGCTACTTTTCAGAATCAAGTGACATATATACCCATAAAACAACTGACAAATTAAATGATAAGACTGGAAATCTGGAATTTGCTTATTGGCAACTGGGTGATTTGATTAATAGTGTGGAGCAAATGATACCGTTAATCTAATTTGAAAACATTCTGGAGGAATGACTTTGATAAGCCCCATTTTTCTTATAAATGGATAATGGGGGATATTTAAGATATTCTGCCTACGGTGTGTTTGATCTTTTAAACTTCTCCGGCATAGCAGGTTAATATTGTGGATATATGTTTGAAGGGGAGAATATGAAAATGTGATGGGGTTTACAGATCTTCTGATAAACTTTTGAAGCATGATGTTTCAGTAGGTTTATTCAGTTTTCAGGTTGCAGTTGAATATTTAGGTTGATAGGGCATGTGGAATATCATCACACGAAGAGCTTCTATTCAGGTACACTTAAAGGCAAGTTACAGAAAAACAGATGATACATATTCTACAGGTGTGAACAGTCCTCATCAGGAAAGCTAACGTGGCTTTTTTAACTGTTTTTAATTTTAGGCTCTGTATGAAAATATGTTGGTGGAGCTGCCATTTGCTAGTTTTTTCCTCTCAAAGTTGCTGGGCACAAGTGCAGATGTGGACATTCATCACTTAGCTTCATTAGACCCTGAAATGTACAAAAACTTGCTTTTCCTCAAGAGCTATGAAGGGGATGTGGAAGAACTTGGCCTAAATTTTACTGTGGTGAATAATGACCTCGGGGAGGCACAGGTAAGAGTCGATCATTAATTTCCCTACCATGGTCAAATTTGGATGTAAACGCAATAAGATGCATGTGTAACTAGTGCTTCTTGCAACTTTCAGTATTTGGCAACAATAAGTTAACTTACTGTTTTTAACTTATTAATCATACTTTTTTGTATCAACGAAAAAGCAGTGCTGACAAGAATGAACAAGTGTGATAATTCTAGTAGTAAACTGTTATGTGAAGAATGGCTGTGGTACCCAGACAATCCTAAATTTCCTTATTTGTTTATTGAACAGTATTTGTATAGTAGTGGAAGTGCTTCTGAAGTGTTGTTATTTAACCCTTTTCTTTTCCAATTTTATGATCTGGAACATAATTTGCATAATTTACGTGTAGAAAAAAACGCCTTTGAAAGCTTTCTGTAGGCGGGATGAAATATGGATTACAATAGTTATGTTCTTTTCATTTGAAAATGCCCTTAAAAGTGACATGATCCTAAGGTACCTGTAGTTCTTGGTAACACAGTTATAGTTAATATGCCTCTCTGCAGGAGCCAAGGAGAGCAGCTGGGCCTATTAGCTTTAACACCATGACCCTAGTGTGAGCTAAATGTATTTTCTTTGAGCAGGGTTAGGGGCCAACACTTTCTGACCTGAATAAGGTTAGAAATGAAATATTTGGGCACCTGAGTAAGTGGCCTGCTTTTTCAGAGTTGCTGAGCTATTAGTGGAAGTCAGTGAGAGTGGTAGGTGTTTGGCACCTCTAGAAAATTGGATGTAGTCACGGGCAGTTCAGACTACCAGATCTGGAAATTCAGAGCAGGGGTTTTCTCTGCCCTAGATCAGGCAGATGTCAATTGTACATGTACACAAATTCACTAGTACAGTATGTTATTAGGGTATAGCATGTCAAGTAGAAATCCAGGACAGAAGTCATATTCTATGGGCTTCTCTATACTATTTTTTCAGTAATTTTTGGGTGCATGTGTCACAGATAGAGATGAGAGGATATGTTATAACTATCCTCTGGGTGTTTATGGAAGTGCTATTCCTTATTGCTGCCTTTCACAGATTTTGGGAACTACTCAAAACCTCCCAGCATTTTCTAGGAGCCAGGGGTCTTAATAGAGAATGACTTTACCAACCCCTTAAAAAATGTACCTGAGACATGCTAGTACAGGTGAACTTGCTTGCTGGAGTATGCTGTCATGTCCTTTTCAGTTTAGAGAAGTAAAAATGGTGTCTTCCTTGTTGCTGCTTGCTTATAATATTTTCAGTAATTTGTAAGTTATTTCATTCTGAATTGCCAGCTATATTTTTATTGGCATTAAAAATATATAAAACCATATTGTTCTTCTTTCCCTTCCAGGCTTCCATTTTTTTAATCTAGATATGTACTTGCTTCTACTATCTTCATTCTCTCCTCTCTTCTTTCCTTTTCACATCTTTTATCTTTTATTCTTTTCTTGTCTCTCTTTTCTTCGTTTTTGCCCCTCAGTAGTCTGTTTCTGTTTTCAGACTTACTGCATTAATCTCTCTTGTTCCAGGTCTCAAACATTTTTGCCACTTTTTTCCTGGTTGTACACAAATGGCCCAGAAATATTTTCAGACCAATAAGGGGGACTACACAGTACATGGACAGTGTCCATACAAGACATCTTCCTGTGCAGTTTCTGGGCCCAGAGATAACAGTGATCATGCCAGGTTCTTTATTTTTATCAGCCTATTGACTGATTGAGGGCATTTACAGATGTTACATTTAGATCAATCTAACTAGGGTTAAATGGACCTAAGTGCTGAACTGTACACGGGTTTGTAGGGTTAGAATGAGCAAAAAAATGTTGAAACAAGCTAATTTAGTTCAGTTGCATGCAGATCTTATATTTAGATCATCTTAACTACAGAAAAGTAGGGCTGGAAGGGACCTCCAGGAGTTATCTAGTTCAATCCCTTGCCTGAAGCAGGATCGTTTGTATCCAAACCGCCTGAGATAAGTCCTTGTGTAATCTGTTACTAAACTTATTCAGGCAACCCTGCCAAAGAGCCACAAAGCAAAACACCTGCCCCAGGTAAAGCAGGAAGACAGTGATGACCAGTGTCCTGCTGCTACAGGAGTTGTTAAAATACTCTTTAGAGATCCAAACAAGTGGGCCCCTGCTGCAGACAAAGGCAGCCAGGCAGCCTGCCCCCCATAGTAAGCGTGGAGTTCCTGCAGATGCTGCTGGCGGGGGGGCGGCAAATGCCGCCCATGGGGCGGCAACCACCCACGGGCCACCGGCAGCCAGCAGTGATCGCAGACCGCCCGTAGACACCACCAGTAGTGCGCAGCGACCTCCTGCAGGCGTTGTCAACAATGTCAGCAGAGCCTTTTTGTAGGGAGTGCACTGCCATACTCAGGGGGTGCACATGCTCCCTGTACACGTCGCCCCTGTCCCAGTTCATACCAGTCTGACTATAGGGTAAAATCCCTTCCTGACCCCAGTATGGTGATTGGTCTGATCCTGGCAGAAGGGCAAGACCTCTGGGGTTTGTGCCAGTAGGAGCATTGGTATGGCCCAGTCAGAATCCCCAGTATTGGCTGCAGCCAACATCCAGTGCTGCTGAGGAGGACGCCCCTCCCCAACACCTGTAGCAACAGGAAGGGGAAAAAAAAATCTTCCTGGCTCCAGGTAGTGATTGGCAAAGCCCAAAAGTATGGGAAATTACCCATACTAGAGCATATGCATAGCTACTGACCCATGCTTATCCGACCTCTTTCTTGAACACCTCCAGTGATGGAGATTCCTCAACTTCCCTAGGCAATCTATTCCACTGCCTCACTGTTCTAGCAGTGAGGAAGTCGTTCCTGATATCCAGTCTAATCCTATTTTGCTGCAGCTTCAAGCCACCAGCCTGTGTTCCATTCTCAGTCATTCGTTCTCATCTTTCTGGCAGCCCTTCAAATACGTGAAGTCTATCATAACCCCTCTTAACTGCCTTTTCCACAAGCTGAACATTCCTATTTCCTTCAACCTCTCCTCATGTGACTTGCCTTCCAGACCTTTTAACATATTTATCTCCTATCTCTGCACCATCTCTTAACTTCTCCAGGTTCTTTTTAAAATGTGGAGCCCAAAACTGCAAGTGCTACTCTAATTGAGGCCTTACCAGTGCTGAATAGAGAGACACTATCACCTCCTGTGTCTTGCACCTAATGTTTTTATTGATGCAGACTAAAACTGTGTTTGCCTCTTGCATGGCTTTATCTTGCTGGAGACTATTGAGTCTGTGATCCACCAAGACTTCTAGGTCCTGTTCTGTACTGCTGCTTTCAAGCCAGGTGTCTCATGTTCTGTAGTTATGTTTGTGATTATTCTTCCTGGGGTGTAGTACCTTGCATTCATCCTGTTTGCTCCGGCTCAGCTTTCCAATCTGTCGAGATATTTCTGAATTGCGTTCCTGTCCTCCAGCCACATTTGTTCTCTGACCCACCAGCTTGGGGCATTACAATAGCCAGCAGCTTGCGTCCTGCCCTTTCAGACCTCATTAGCTCCTCCAGCAGGGGTTGGAGTGTGCCTCCCTTTGCCTCCACTCCTGGGGCTGGGTGGAGGCCTCTGGCCCCAGTGCTGCAGCCACATGGGCAAACTTACCATGCTGAAGCTGGTGAGGCCAGGGTGCCTGCGGTGCAGGGATGTAGTTGATTCAGTGCCCCCACCCCCAGTCTGTCACCTCTGCTGCAGGGTCAGTGGCAGGATGGGGTGGTTGGTCTCTGGGTACTCACACTGACTCTTCCCCTGTTCCAAGGTCCTCTTCAGGCTCTAGAAAAGCTGTGAATAACAGCAGAAGTACAAGTGCTGTCAATCTGCAGCTTTAGGTATACAATGCAGCACTGGTTACACTTAGTTAATTCCCTCTGATGCAGAGTTTCCAGTTGCAGGTCCAATATCAATACGTCCATTAATTCTACTGGCAGCCTCTCGGGCTTAAGCAAATGAGTTGCTTTGTAAAGCACTTTGAAGTCTATTGATAATGCTGTCAAAGAATTAAGTATTTTTATTATTATTTTTACTTGCAGTATGTCCATATTAGAAGTTTCCACAGTCTTGTGAATTTGTAGCAGCACCCCTTTCAGTGTTTGATAAGTGGTTAGTGCCTCTTCTGTAAGCAAGTGTCAAAAGAAAGAGATTGGGATCCTTTGTCCCAAGCAGCAAACCATATAATCTTTTGCCAAAGTGCCCAGGTAGATCCCTGGGTCCTCTTCAATTCCCAAGGTAGAAAGAGAAGGCCTGGGGTGGCTGAGGCAGCTGATTGTCAGTCTGGCTGATGCAGGAGAGGTATCGAGCCCCCGAATAGCTGCTCTTGGAACTTAGGTTTAATGCTTCGTTCCATTGCTGCTGCCTAAATCGCGACAAATTTGGTTCCTGATACCTTCAACCAATAATCTATGTACTGCTGTCATGTCTCCTGTTCCATCATTCATTTCCCATCATTTTGTGGGGTCTGTGAATTTGCCTGCTCTTACAGTTTGAAAATAATGTGCTCAAATTTGGGGATCATAAAAGGTGACCATAAAAGGCTCACGTCAAGTATAAGCAGTTGTCCCATTTGTTTCCATTTTTTTCTGTACTGAGACTTGTGAGTTATGCATTTCTATAGAATAGCATCCACAAACATGAAAATAATGAGAAAATGCATTTTCTGTGTTTTTTCTTGATGTTGGTGATATTATAAAGTGTTTTAAAAAGAACTATATTTCGTTACTGAATTGGTTTCTGTCACCCCATGGATATTTGATTTTAAAGATTGTCAGGTATACAAGGGAACCACTTCTACAGTATCCCTGGGCATTTGTAAGAATCATTTGTTATTTATACTCACAAATCCCCCATTTAAATCCCCTGGATAGGAGAGTTTCATTGCTGAAACACCAGTACCAAGAAAGCAAGCAATTCAGTCCCCAGTCAAAAAACACTTGTTTCCTAGAGGCTGTCTAACCTCAAGACTATAACATAACTAAACCGTCTATTCTCAAAGTCAGCTTCCAG